CTTAGGGAGACTTAATGACAACCAAGCTTCATTATTTCTGTTTTGTGTATGAGGAAACTGACTCACAGAGGGTCCAGCAATTTTCTCATTCATGCTGTGAGTTATTACCAGAACCATGAATGAAACTTAGGATGAAACCCTATTTCATAAACCATTAAACCTTGTATCCTTTATAGGAGTGGAGTTTACTATAATAATGACACCTTTGTGTTGAGAGTTCATTCCTTTATTCTGTGATTAAGTCTTGGCTTATGTGGGGCAGAAGCATCCCACTACAATGCGAGCTTGAGTTGTTCTGCAATGCAAAGCAAGATGGGAAAAGTTGTGTGTTTTGGTGATGCCCAGACCGTTCACAGCTTATTGTTTTCATCCATCCCTCCATTTATTAATTTATTCATTCCATTATCATATATCTGAGTCCCCATTTCATCATCTGGAAAATGGGCAGAGTAATATTACTATTAGCAAAAGGCTGTTTTGAGAAGGTAATTTCTATAATGCACATTGTCTAGCACATAGTAAGCCCTTATTCATAATAATTATTTTCATTAAACAAGCAATTCCAAGTGCCACATGGGAAGACAAAAAAAAATGGTTCTTTTATACCTCTACTTAGGGGTGGAGAGGGCAAGGTTACTTCTGAAGGGTGGATTAATTCCTGGGGGAAGAGGTAGATCCCTCAGATTAAAAACTGGTACAGAGCAGATGGCTCTCAGGTAGACCAGAGAGGGGTTCTCCGACTTTGGACTATGAAGTATCAGGAGAGCTGGGAAGGTATTGCTGGGTAGTGGATATTAAATTGACACGAACCAGTTAGGAATGGGCTGGAGATGAAGAGAAAGAGGAAAGAAACACAAACAAACTTCAGATGAAATGTGGTGCAGCTTCTAAGTCCTACACATCTATCTAGTTATGGCAGAATCAAGGCTTTCTACACTGAGAGGCCAGCCTGTTTAAATTCCTTATATTTACTTCCAGGTTACTCTTCCTTCATATTGAACACAATTTTTGTCCAAGTTCGCACCTGTCCCGTCAGCACTCAGGATATATCAGAGACAGTGTTAAAAAGGAAGCAGCCAACCTTGGATGGAGCCACAGAGCAGAGGGAATCCCTCCAAGAAGTGCAAACACAGGGAGACCCTCTTTCTATGGCTCACTGGGGATGAGATGAGTTTGATATTATTAGGAAACTCTCATTTCATAGAGCTGCTTGCAGTTTCAGTCCTCTGTGTGCCCTAAACACTGGGTTTAAAATCTTTCCCAATGCAGACACAAAATCCAGAAGCTGTTAAGGAAAATGTTGATAGATTGGTTTCATAAAAGGTGTAAAAACCTGGTGTGACAAAAACCACCAAAACCAAAACTGAATGACAAGAAACAGACTGGAAGAAAATATTTGCGAACAGCAACACATATTTTAACATTACAAGAAGAAGGAATATCCATAATGCTTAAGGAGCTCCTCTAGGACAAATCCAGTGGACAAAAGATATAAACAGGTAATTTCAGAAGAAATAGAAGCACAAAATGCTCATCTTTAGTAGTAATGATGGTACTACAAATGAAAACAAGCTGCCATTTTGTTTGCCCATCAGATTTTGGCAAAAATCAAAAAGTCTTAGAATAGCGAATACTGGCAAATATAAAGGGATATTGGGAGTTTCTTCTGATCATGAGAATGTAAACTGTGTAGCCTTTTCAAAGGAGAGTTTGACAGTATCTATAAGTACTTATGGTATGCCTACCTATTCATACAACAATTTTCATGTCTAGGAACCTATGCTATTTAAGTATGTCCACATGAGGGCAAAAATACAAGAATGTCAACTGCAACAATGTTTGAGACACTGAGAAAATACTACGAACACCTAACATTTATGAGGGCCAGCACTCTTCTAAGCACTTTATAACAGACGATATAAGGAAACTGAGAGCCCACAGCTAGGGTGCAGAAACGGCAGGACTTTAGCCCAATTTGTCTCCAGAGTCTGGTATGATGCTCTAAGAGAGAGAAAAGGAGTCTGGTACATCCATACCATGGAATATAGTACAGCAGTTCAAAAGAAGGAGGTAGATCTCTGTTTACAGACAGGGAGATCCAAGACATATTAGTAAGGGGAAAAAAAATCAAGTTGCAAAAGTCCATAAGGCCAGATGTGTGGGAAAAAGATACATTTGTGTATATATACAAATAGTATGTATGAGAATAAGGTAAAGGCCTTCACTGACAAGAGAAATGTGTGGTGTGTAGGGAGATTTGGGAGAGTAATTTTTGAGGCATGTTTTACACGTCTGGTTTCTTTTAACTTTTACAAGAATGCATTTGTGCATTACTTTGGTAAAAAAGAATTGTTCTGTTGACCAAAAAACATAAAAAACAACAACAAAAATAAAACGGTTTAACTCATATCAAGAGATCAGTCTTCTTTTCCATGTAGACAATGGTGCAGGTCTTGGTTAACAATCTTCTATGGTATGGCTTTTTCTAGCGTATGTAGAAGGTGCCCATTATCCATATCTTGCTGATCACTACCTATTCTTTTCAAATAAGGTTTTCATGTCCAGTTATTTGGGACCATGACTTCCTGTTAGCCATAAAAACATACAGCCAGTTATGGAAAAATTAATTTGGAACCTGAGAACCACATGGTGCTCCTTTTGCTTTGCGTTATTTTGTTGGTTTCAGGGAAAAAGATCCATGATCATGGATTATATCTTTATTTTGCTCCAGTGCATAAGCACAAATCTTTGGCTCATTTTGTTTTCCTGGTGTGATTGCAGAGGTATGAATGAGTCACTCAACATACAGATTTAAAGGACTTACCTTTTGACCAGAAGTCAGTGTTATTATCTGGGAGGAAAAGGCTATACTGGATCGTTCAGGGCCTCCTCCTAAGTCCAAGTGATGGTGGCTTTGACACAAAGCAAAAGATGACGCTGCTGGAACATTTATTGATTAAATTGTTACGTTTACAAGGTTACTTGTACAGCTTTAGAACTCAGCTGCAGATCTTTGTGAGCTTATCTCTGACATGCCAGTGAGAAATGTTCTTAAGATTCTTATTACTTAATGGAGAGTAGATGATAGCTTTTTTTGGAGTGGTCCAGCTAAGAACAATTTTTCAATTCTTGAAATTTTAATGTTCTCTTAAGCATCTTTACAGAAAAACGAATTCCCATTCACTTAAAACCAACCATCTTCTCTTGTTCTTGCAGCTGCTCATTTTACATAGTTGTAAGTAGTGTATACAAACTATTTTGTATCTGTTGTTCATTTAACCTTATTTCCAATACATCTTTTCATGTACTTGCCAAAGTCTCATGCTTCTGACATAAATCCAACATACCTGCCAGGATTCTGTTAATGTGACAGAGTTTGCTTGGATTATTCCCCAACTGTTGGACAACTGGGCCCCTTCCCCGGTTTTGGTCATTATGAACATTCTGAATAGCCTTGCTATAAACATCTTTATGCAAGCCCCCCCCCCCCCGGATTATTTCCTTAGACATGTACTTCCTTAAATGGGTTTACTGGATCAAAGGGGCTCAATGAACAGTTTTATAGCTCCTGGCACATATTTTTCAGATTGCGCCCTGGGTGGATCTGACCAATGGCACGGGCCGCGAGAGGGCAGGAATGCGGAGGAGCGGCCCCTATAACCACCCTTCTTCCGTCCCCCAAAAGGCAAGGACCTGGAGAAGCCTGCGGCTGGAAGCCTTTTTCTATCGTTCTCTTATCCTCTTCCTGATTAGTGTTTAAGTCCAGGCTGGGAGAAGACCGCTGGGGGCCGGCACAAAGGTTTTCGGATTCCAGGACATCTGCCCTGGGGGCTGAAGCAACTCCTTCAGGCCCTCCATACCCGGACTGGGAGTCCAGTTTCCGACTCCCACTGCACACTCCCCCGGCCTTTCCACTAAAATCTTCCCGGCCCAGGCAGGCCCCTCGCCAGCGCAGAGCCCTGCAGGCGACGGCAGCGACTGGCGGTCGTTATTATTTTGGCGCGGGTGATGCAAGGCCCGCATAGCTGCGCGCTGAGTCAGTGGGGGCGGGCCGACCCATTCCCCGCCGCCCAACCTTCCCGACCACCACCTCCCCCCACCCCTCCCCGGGCCCGGCGGCGGCGGGACCGGGCGGTGGGGGTGGGCGGCCGGCCTCTGAATCCGCGGGGTCGCCCTCCCGGGCAGGGTCAGGCGGGAGCTGGGGCCGCGGAAAGACCCCAGCCCCGGGCGCGCTCTCCCCTCCCCCAGCTGGAGCTCGGCGGGTCAAGCGAGGAGGTCACCGCGCGCCCGGCCGTTTACCCTGGGAGAACTCGAAGAGGGGGAGGAGGAAGCGGGGAAGGAAGGAGGATCCAAAAGGAGAAACACGAAGCGGGACCGACAGGAAGAAGCGAAAAATGGAGGCGAAGGGGCGACAGGAGGCGGAGGCCGGCGGGCGGGGGCGGCGGCGCGCGCGGGGCGGGGCGGAGCGAGCGGGGGCGCGCGCCGGCGGCCGCGGCCCGAGGGGCTTGTGGGTAGCGGCTGCGCGCGGCCGGAGACGGGATCCGCGCGGGAGTGTGTGAGGGGAGCGGGCTTGTGGGACCGAAGCTGCCCCGGCGAGCATGGGGGCGGGCTGGCGGCGGCCGTAGTTGTCTGAGCCCGGGCTTCGGCTTCCCGGAGCGCCAGAGGGCGGGGCGGTCCAGCCCGGCGGTGGCCGCGCCGCTTCCCCGCTCCCGCCCTCGGAGTCCTGAGGGAGCTCGCGGCGGGCGAGCGGACCGGGCGGCGCGAATCTGACTGAGGGGCGGGGACGCCGTCTGCTTTTCGCCGCTCCCGGCCGGGCCGGGCGGCCCCCTGGACAACCCGAGGCCCCGGACTCGGCGCTGAGAGCCGAAGCCGGAGCTAGAGGCGGGCGGTGGGCCCTGGCGGAGCCCCGCCCGGAGCCGGCGGTTCGGGGGCGGCGCTAGGCCCCGAGGCGCCCGGGCCAGAGCGCGGGGAGCGGGAGTGCGGGGCCGGGCGGCGGCGGCATGAGCCGGCCCCCGGCTACGGGGAAAATGCCCGGCGCCCCCGAGGCCGTGCCGGGGGACGGGGCGGGCGCGAGCCGCCAGAGGAAGCTGGAGGCGCTGATCCGAGACCCTCGCTCACCCATCAACGTGGAGAGCTTGCTGGTAGGTGGCCGGGGCCCGGGCGCCCTCCCCGCTCTAGTAGCGCCTTCCTCAGATCCCCCTCTGTGCCCACCCATCCGTGGGAGGGAGGTCTCGCCCCACCCCGCCCCGCTTCCGGCAGCCGGGCCCGGGTCGGAGGCCAGGGACTTCTGCGACCAGGTTCCAGCAGTAGAGACCCACGTTTGATTCTTCTTCCCCTTCTGCCTCCTGGAGCCGGTGTCATCCCCGACTGCCTCTTTCTTGGAGCCCTGGGAGGAAACACCCCTCTTCTCCTTCCCGCCTCTCCTCTCGCTTTGGGGAGCTCGGGAGCAGGGTTTGCTGTCTTATGTTCATCAGGCTAGCCAGCTTGGAAGAGTGGCATGCTGCGTGGGGACGTGGGTCGGAGCAGGGAAACCTGATGCTCTCCCTGTTGGGAGTACCCACTTGGGGTAGATGACAAAGAGCCGGAGCCAAAGAATCAGTCTGAGTTGTCGAGTCGAATAAATCTCTCTTTTTCATTGTACCTCTTTCCTAAGGCAGTCTGCAGTACAAATTAATAACCACGGAAAGGCTGCTAGTTGGCTCTTGGTTAAGAAGTATGTTTTACAAGTTAGAAAGGCGCCGTAGAATGCTTGCTTATTTCTTATTTTTGTTAGGCGATTGTATTTCACAGTTTGATTAGTGTGTAGTAGAGAGGCATTTTATGGGAAAAGGGGGTGCGGATTTTTCCCCCGGGAGAAGAAGAAAGTGAAAAAGATGCTCTGGATATTAAATTAACTCGGGAGGACGAGAATTTGTGTGGGTGATCCTTGGACCCTTTAGATAGCAGAACTCCTGTTCAGTTCTGCTCCCTGCTGGGAGAAACCTAGTGACTGTATGCTGAGGAAAACTGTGTTTCCTCCCTTTCCAGTGATTAACTGACTTTTCTTCAGAAATCATTGGTTATCCTTTGAGGTTTCTGGAATCATTTGCAGAGTGACTCAGTGCTGTTTGGCCAAAGTGCAGGAACCGACTGAAGAGTGTGTCTTCTGTACAATGAGCAGAATGTGGTGATGTACTGTATTCTGTCAGATGTCTTTGACGTTGTCTTTCACTGATTTTCGCATTAGTGTGTTGTTTCTGTGTTTTCATGGCATCGTGACACCCTGGTCCCTCTTTAGCAGTCTTCAGTTGGGTGTAGGACTGGTTGCATTAAGGGCATAACTTTTCCTAGGCCAGAGCAGAGACTCTGGGCTTCACTCCCAGCATTTTCACTTTGGTATTTTGCTAGCAAAACTTTGACCCAAGGCCAGAAAGTTCATTTAAAAATAGTACCGCAAGTATTCATCAGGTTCATATTCAAACCCAGATAGAAATTTTTTACTGCACTTTCATCTCTTGGGTCTTTACTGATGTTCATTACAATTCCGGTTATTCTATTCAGGATATCGGAATATCCTAAGCTAATTATACCTGTAATATGTTCATACATTGTTTTGTTATTTTCTAAATTTTTAAAATGAAGGCTGTTTTTAACAGTGAAACATCATACGTTTTAGTAAACCGTTTGGTCCATTCATTTATTGAGTGCTCAATACAGCCGAGACACCTTATGCTTTTGTTAAGGCGATGTATTGTTGGTATGAGAGTTGACATTAGATGCTGCTGACTGGACAGATTTTGCTGTTGCTGTTTTTAGTTGATTAAATATTATGATTCTGAGTTGAAGTAAATCTTACCAGGCCAAAAATTGTCCCTTACTCTTTTCTTTTCACCAAGGTTGCCGTGCTTCTCTTGCAAATTGATAAGCTGAAAAAAATTTTAGAACTGTGTTACAGTAAGTTAGTTTTAAACTGTGTGTATTGTACTAAATAGTAGAATGAGTCTGCTTTTTTTGTGGTAACATTTATGTAAAGTTTACCATTTTAACCATGTTTTAAGTGTACAGTTCAGTGGCATTAATTACATTCATGTTGTTGTGTAACCATCACCACTATCCATTTCCAGAAATTTTTTTATCTTTCCAAACAGAAACTCCATGAATTAATAGTCAAATAAAAACACAGCCATGAGTCTTAGTTACTTCACTTAGGAGCTCAGAAAGTACCATTTAAAATTGTATACTAAAATGACAAAAGTATGAAGATGAAATATACCAGAAGTTACTGTATAATTATTAGAAGATAAAACTCTCTTTGTAGGAAAAAATGTTAGGTGAGATTACATGCAAAGGGCTTAGCTCAGTGCTTGGTACATAGTAGGGCTCATTACATTTAGCTCACTTCTGTGTACAGTTAGCATAGTTAATTGCTTTAAGTTTCCTTTGAAAAGGAACATGATTTTATTAGCAACCATTTCTTGCTCTATAATTTTGAAATATGTAACATTATAATTTGAATTTGCCATCATAAAAGTGCTAGCAGTCATCAAGCATAGGTAAAGCTGGATTCTAAGACTGGGTTAGTGTTAAAATACTAAATTATCTTTTTTTCTGTGCAGATGCTCCCTGCTTTACATAGGTCCTTAAATTAATCTGGAGAGAGTGTATCCCTTTTGTGGTTACAGATTGTGGGCTGCTTGGTATTATTTAAAAATAGAGGTGTTTTTTTTTTTAAAGATTTATTTATTAGAGAGAGAGAGAGAGCGTATGGTTGGAGCAGGGGGGAGCGGGTGGCAGGAGAGGGACAAAGGGAGAGGAGAGAGAATCTGAAGCCGACTCTCATGGAGCACAGAGTCTGACTGGGACTCTATCTCGAGACCCTGAGATCACAACCCGAGCCAAAACCAAGAGCGGGATGCTTAATCGACTCTGCCACCCAGGCTCCCCAAAAATAGAGTTTTGAGGGAGGTTTGTTTCTGTAATACTTTTTTTTGGAGGGCAGGGACTTCAATAGTATGCTTTTGCAGTGCTTGAAACTTTTTGGTAAACACCCATGTTTTGTTGTCAAGACTCCACTTCTCATACTGCTTTCCCAAATAATATGGTAAAAAGAATTGTGCTGGAGAGATGTCTTTTTCTTTTTCTTTCTTTCTTTTTTTTTTTTTTTAAGATTTTACTTTTTAAGTAATATCTACACCCAACATGGGGTTTGAACCCACAATCTCGGCATCAAGAGTTGCATGCTTTACTGACTGAATCAGCCAGGTGCCCCGAACCTTTCTAAGTATCTTTCTAAAGATGTGTGCTTTTGGGTTTTGATATGTTTTACTAAAAGAGTAAATGGTTATAATAACCTGGCATTCAGGCTTAGGTAAACGGTTATTTAAGACTGGTGTTGATGGGGAAAGGTGATTAAAATTTTATTTATGAATGTCAGTGACTTAGAATACAAAATGCTTCATTTGATTGATTTCATTATACCGGTAAACTGTATGAAAATATTTCTTATCACAGTGCTTAGATTTCAGCTTGGCACTGGTTATCTGCCTAATTAAAGTAAACTTTTATGTGTATTTTTTTCCCCACTGTGTAATAAGTGTGAATATTATAAAGATATAAAAATGAAATAGAATAAAAGTTGAAAAATTGTTTTATACATGTTTTTCTTTTGTGAAATAAAAGTTGGGCATTTATAGTATAAGTGGGATTACTTTACTTTAAAACTTGCATTTTGATGACCATTAAAGACAATGAATTAGCTAGAGAGGTTTAAAAAAGTGTAATGTATGGAATTTACAGTTTAGGTGAAGTTGAACCTCTTTGAAAGTACAGGTCCACAGCCCCTAACCCACAATTTTGCTACATAAAGAACTCAGAAAACCAAGTTTTTGGTAAAACTTACTTGATCGTAACATCTGACCTGATTTGATGTTAGAATATTTATAATCAATTTGTCCTTCCTGGTATAATTGGAATAGTTTTCCTTGGAGAAATATTAATGGGTTTGATTTCAGGGTGCTACAGCAGACTTGCAAGAGGGTTTTCAGGAATGTACTGTATATGGTGTATGTACTTTATTACCGTTCTAAAATCCAGAAAATTCTGAATTCGGAAACATCTTGTCCTAACATAACACCAGTGTAGACTTACATACATCTCAAATGCTGTAGTTATAAAAAAAATAGTGAATGATTATCTTTTTTTTCTTTTTTTAATTTAATTTTATTATGTTATGTTAATCACCATACATTACATCATTAGTTTTTGATGTAGTGTTCCATGATTCATTGTTTGCATATAACACCCAGTGCTCCATTCAGTACGTGCCCTCTTTAATACCCATCACCAGGCTAACCCATCCTCCCACCCCCCTCATCTCTAGCACCCTCAGTTTGTTTCTCAGAGTCCATAGTCTCTCATGGTTCGTCTGTGAATAATTATCTTGAAACCTAAGTTGTTGTTTTGGTTGAGTCCTGATCCAGTAGTCTTCTTTTCTCATTTTGAATTCTGAAATATTCTAAACATTAAGAGAATATAGCATGCAAATATGAATTATGAAGCATAAAAAACATTCATGAAATCACTGCCCAGTTTAATGAACAGAACACTAGCCTGTTGAAGTTACTATGTGTTGCTGCTGCTTGATCAGTCTTAGTGCATTTTCTCCTGTTACCCTGAAATTTTTTTTAAAGATTAATTTACTTATTTGAGAGAGAGTGAGCATGTGTGAGCAGGGGAAGGGGCGGAGGGAGAGGGAGAGAGAGTCTCAAGCAGATTCCCTGCTGAGCACAGAGCCCAGTGTGGGCCTTGATATCATGACCCTGAGATCATGATCCAAGCTGAAATCAAGATTCGGACACTCAACTGCCTGAGCCACCCTGGTGCACGCCCTGAAATTTTTTTTTTATTATTCCCTTGCTTTATTTTATAGATTACCACATTTGTATCCCTAAACAGTACTGTTTAGTTTTACTTACTTTTTTAACTTTAAAAAAAGGTTAAAATTTGTATTGTATACTATATTCTTTTGTGACTTGCTTTTTTCAGTCAAAGTTAAATTTCTAAGATGCACCTACATTGTGGTTTCGTTTTCACTGCTGCCGTAAACGTAGTATATTGCTCCAATCTATTTAATGGATATTTAGATTGTTTTTCTTTTCTGCTA